TCAGTAAACCATTTCAAAATCTGGACCCACAAAACCATGAGATAATAAATGTTTATTGTTGTTGCAAGCTGCTAAGTTTGTTTTTTTTCTTTTAATTATTTTTTATTATGAAATACACATTTTTTAGAATTAGTTTCAGCTGTACAACACAGTGTAACAGTTATACTTTTTACCCCTCGAAGTGACAACCCCCCTCCCCCAGCAAGCTGCTAAGTTTTAGGGTAATTCCTTACACAGAAACAAATAACAAAATACTTAACGGGCATCTGAACCCATAGAATCACTTCATTAAAATTTTTTCTTTATTTTTCAATCTCTCATTTAATCAGAAAGCGGGCTCCATGCAAGTGGGAACTTCACCACTCCTGCTCACTGTGTTAGAACGCAGTGTGATGCACTGGAGACATCCAATATGTGCTGAGTAAGTCTGGCTGAGGATATGCCAAACATCTCCAACCCCAAAGAGAAGAGACCCGAACACCAAGCAGCACGGAAGTGTGGAGACAGAAGGGTTTCAGAGGAGCTGAGGTGCCATCGAGGCTCCCAGCAAACAGGTTAGAGACGAAGTGCGTCCATCTTTAAGAACTCCATGGCAAGGCCCTATTAGCCTGTGGGGGCTGACCCTCCCCTGGGCCCCTTCTGATCCCTTGACCAGCTGGGCAAATCCTCTGTGCCCTCCAGAAGCCAACCTAGTCATAGCTTTGACGGAAGTCAATGACTCCATTTCACAGTAGGAAGGCAATGGGGGAGGGTCCTTCTCGGGCTCCCAGAAGTCCCTCAACAGATGAGACTAAGTGCTGAACTAGCCCTGCCATCTAATAAGTGGCACGCAAACAGTTCTGCTGACCCCAAATCACCCAGGCCACATTTACAAACAGCTGCTATCTTCCGCTTGACTTGAGAAACTCAGACATGAGGGCTGAGCAGGAGAGCAGCCTTTCCTGCGGGCTACGTCAGAGCCTGACAAGGACGGGCTATTTTTAATAAACTCCACTTGGTAGAAATTCAACACAGAGGTGGGAACGGCGTGGATGGCGCTGGCTGAGCCAGGGAGCACTGGGTGGTATGCGACACCCAGGACAGCACTACCTCCTCCCTCCTTGGAGTTCCAGTCAGGATGGAAGGAAAAAAAACGTATTTCAGACGAAAATCGCGCCAGCCCTGGAAAACTCAATAAAGTCTTCATGCGTAAAAGAGGCGTTCCAAGGGCTGGTCATTTGACGTCAAGATGGGCGATGAAAAGGCCTCACTAATTCCCAGAGATGCAGAGAGAACGCAAAGGGATGGGGTCAGCCTCTCGTGAGTGGCAGCTTCGTTAAGGCAATGTAAAGAGCATTTATCACGTCAATGCAGGGAGCCAGACTCACATTTCCTTCCAAAAAAAAAAAAGCTCCTGGTACAGGCCCAGCGAAAGGGAACGTCTGCACGCACAACCCGGATGAAAACGGGCATCCATTGGGTTTTGTTTTTTTTTCTTCTTCGCAAACTGACTATGCCCATCTAACAAGACCCATGGCTGGAAAATTCCACTGGCTCCTGGGTTTAGCCTTGCTCCTCTCTGCCTCATCAACGCTAGACAGGTCCCAAAGCTTCTGGTGCCTCGTATTTTCCAAATGGGGAGCAGCCTTGGTCCAGGGCTCAGTCTTTGGGTTTCATCTCTTCCCCATCCACATGCATCTCCTTGTTGAGCTCATCCGGCCCATGGCTCTAAATACCAGTTATCTGTTGACAGCTCCCCATTTTCTAATGCCAGCCGAGATCTCTCTCACAAAGTTCAGACCTGAACACCTTCCTCCCTTCAAACAGCTCTACTTGGAGGTCTGACAGACTCCTGGTGTTTCCCTAAACGAGCCTCCCACAGCCTTACCCTAACTCCATCCTTCCAGTGGCTCAGGCCAACACTTTGAAGTCGTCCATAACTCCTCTCTCACTCTCAATGCATCAGGAAATACTGTTAACTCTGCCTGCGAAGCATGGCCCAAATCCAACCACCCTCAGCACTGCCAACTGCTTCCACGTGGCTTGAGCCATCAGTTCTCACCTGGGCTGCCGGAGCAGCCCCCTATCTGAGCTCCCTGCTCTTACCCTTCTCCCCATTGTCTGTTCCCAACACAGGAGTCAGAAAGTCGTTTAAAAACCTAAGTCGGACCACGCCACTGCTCTGCTCAGACCCTCCAGTGGTTCCCCATTTCCCTCAAAGTCAAAGTTCTTTAATGGCACAAGGCCTGGCACGATCAACACCCCTCCTAGACCCCTCTGCCCTGCTCCCTCCATTCCAGCCAGGACCGAGACGCTTCAACCAGCCTGGCAAACTAGAGCCACCGCAAGCAGGTGGTGGGGCCAGAACGCAGGGCCCAAGAAGACCCAGGGGACGGTGGAGGATGAAAGAGTCGGCAGGAGCCTATCGGTGGAAGGGCTGGTAAATCAGCCTCAGAACTTGGACTCTATCCCAGATGTCAATGCTTCCCAACCTTGGATACTTAGTACAGTCCTGGGAAACTTGAAAAATGCAATGTCTACTACAGAGTATGGCCAGTCCAGTGGTAATGAGCACCCCTAGTGCCAAACTGGTCTCCCAGGAGGGGAGCCAGGGCTCCTTGGAGAAATGATGGATTCTAGGTGTAGGGCAGGAAACATGAGCCTCAAACATCATATTATACCAGATAGCCAGGAGGCTGCCGGTGATTACTGGGGTCCTCTCAAGGGATCAGACGCCAACCCGAAGGGCTCCCACTGGCCAACAATGAGACCATGGAACACCAATGAAGATAATGACTACTGTGCATCAAAACGCACCATGTTTAAATCCACACGTTTCAAATCTAACTGGCTACTACTATTGGAGAATGCTCGCGAACCAATATGGTACTTTGAAAACATAAATACAGGGAAAGGATCAAGCATTTCCTGTATGAACTTGACCGCTGGGTAACCCAATAGTAATCGAAAGGAAGTGTTTCCCACTTAGCAAATGGAGAAGGAATGACAGAATGTCACCATGTTATAACCCCTAATTAACCAACAAATTTAGGTATTGAATAGGCTGCTGCCTTCTCAAAAAGAAAGACAACCAGATATCACATGTCCCCTGACAGAACATGAAACCACTTATGAAGTCAGTTCCCCTGCCCCCCGAATTGAAATGAATCTGACAAAGTTTCTAGATTCAACGAGCAATTTACAAGAAATACAGAGGGACCTGTTAAATGACACATGGGGATAAGAGCACAAAATTCAGATAATGGGAGGCTCTTCTGGATGAATAAAGGGAGGTGCATTTATAAAAATTTTTATAAATTATCAGGAAATCAGAAATGGGAACACTGACTAATATTTGATAATAGGAGAGAATTATTTTTTTAGCTGTGGTAATGGTACTGTGATTGTTTTGTTGTTGTTGTTGTTGTTAAAGAACGCTTATCATTTCGATACATACTGAAATGCTCACAGATTAAATGAGTTATGTAAAATCTGCTACAAAATGCTACAGAGGGGAGGAGATGGGGGAAACAGAATTGGCCATGAGTTCGTAATTGTTGAAGTGGGGTGAAGGGTGCATGGGGGTTCATTATACTATTCTGTAGACTTGTACTTTTTATAGTTTGAAACTTTCCCTAATAAAATGTTATGAAAATACTAGGTCCCACCCCAGAGATAGAAATTAATGAGTCCGGGCCAGTTTCGAGCACTGGTATCTTTTTGAGGCTCCCTGGTGTTCGTACCGCTCAGCCAAGGCTGAGAATGCTGTAATTGCTTATACAAGTGTGCGGAGAGCCTGCACTACGACCAAGACAGAGGCCACGGTGGGGGGCGGGGAGCTGGTCTGCGAGGTCGAGGAGCCAGGCGTGGTCCTTGATCAGGTGGGGGAGGATGAGGGAGGGGAGGGGTGAAAGACAATGTAGGCTTCAGGCCTGGGTCACCGTGGGGTGCTGGTCACTGGAACGGGAACATGTCAGGGCTGCGGGGAGGTTCTGGGTTTATCTAAGACGTGTTGGCTATGAGGGGGCCCACGTGACTGCTGGCAGTTTGGCTTGTGGGTCTAGAGATCCACACTGAGACCCTGAGGAAGACACAGAAACTTGGGCCCCACAGGGCTGTCTCCTAAGCTGAGACAGAGGTCGGGATGGCGGAAGCCGATAATGGCAGGAGGGCCTCCAGGAAACAGTGCCCTGGTCCCCTGCCCTGGGAAAGGGAGCCTGGATGACCCCATTTCTTTCATGATCGGTCTCCACTCTTCACCTGCCTTCCCGAGCAGTAGAAACCCAAAGGGCTGCTGTGCAGGCTGAGGTGCCCTGCCTTCCCGAGCAAGTGATGTTGAACCTTGCGTATTCCTACATCCGGCCCTTAAAACCCATGGAGGTCAATCAGCATCTGTTGAACTAGTGAACAACAGTGTATCTGCAGGAAGTCCCATGGCGTCCATCACAGCGATGTGTGCGAGCAGCCGGTGACGCCAGCAGCTGTCAGATTGGCTTGAAACTGCTAACAAGTTCATTGCACAAACATCTATTGAATGCCTGTGTATGCCAGGCACTGTGTTCGGCAGAGGTGACGTGGAAGCCCGTGGTCCAGGCCTCGGGGAGCTGGCTTTGTAATAGGGAAGTAGACAGGAAGCAAGCACACAAACACAAGCTTTGGCATTTTAGAAGATGGGTTCTCAGTGGGGGAGAGGAGCCACGAAACCCAAGAGTGACCTTGGGGTTTTGGGACCACCGACTTCCCCAGGCACAACCTTGTAGAATAACCCAGGCTCCCAGAATCAGGGAGCTGCCAGGGCCTCATTTTAGAGCAGCAGCAGCTAAGTAAGGCCCAGGGGTGCGGAGGTGGCCCACCAATGGTCGCCCGGCCGTTGCAAGCCTGGAGACCAGTCTGCATTCTCAGTCTGCACTGAGCGTTTTTGAGCAACAGTTTTATTTCTCACCCCTCTAAGCCACGTGCTCTATCTTTTCCTTTGATGCCGAGGACCAAAGACACCCCCTCCCCCCAGGCCAGGGACTTACCACTGAGTCCAGGAACTGAATGTAACACTCCAGCCCAGGTCTCGTTTCACAGAATTGCCGGAAAAGCAGCCTTCCAATTGGCTGCTTGTCACATAAACTGCAGTAATCTCTGTCTGGAGACAAAAAAACAAGAATGTGGTAAGACCCAGCAGAAGGTCGGGCAGAGTCATCCTGTCAACCCATCCCTGGTTCTGAGGGATGGGGAACAGCGACTGGTAAACTCTCAGGACTCCTTATGCATTTCCAGGCTCTGCAGACTCTGAGGGGTCAAGGTCAGTGTAGAGGAAGGCAGGAGTTATGACCCAGCCTCTACTCCCCAGCCCAATCCCCCTTTCCAATGCCCTCATTTCTGTATGTAGATGCCAACAGCTCCAGGGACGATGACTGCCCCCTGGCTGGCAGATCCGCATGTCACATTTCCTGATTACAGTGATCGGGTAAAGGTGGCAGGCATGGAACCCAAGACAGTCAAGTCAGAATGAACCACTGCTTTGCCTGATGCACTGAGAAGCGAGGTGCGGCCCGAGTCCACGGCAGTGTTCTTGACACTGCAAAGGAAGCTGCTGTAAGAATGAGGCTGTGACACACAGAGGTCAGAGCTGGGAAAATTACAAGTAGACTTGGTGCCCTGGAGATGTCATGAATCTGTGGATCAAGCCACGCCTGCAGCCCAATGACATCTGGAAAACTTCTTTATGAGCTTTGTGTAGGGCAGTTTGGAAAAAAAAAAATAATATTTTTTTAAATTACTTGTAATTCAAAGCATCCTAATGAATATGATAAAAAACATTTTTCATTTTTTGCCCAATTGGAGCAAAACCCAGTCTTAAGGTGCTTCAAATGATGAAAAACCTGCATTTTTCCAGCTGAGGAGCTAAAGGCACAGAGACAGGAAGTGACAAGCTCTCAGCCACTCAGTAGCCAAGAGAGTTCTGAAGAGGAAATGCAGTGCAAGGCTCCAAGCCCAGAGGCCTGGAGACCAGGGTTCTAGCCAGTGACCGGCTGTGTGACTTTAAGAAACTCACTTGCCCTCTCTGGGCCTCAGTCTGCCTCTGAAAAATGAAGGCACATGTTGGAGGTAAGATGGAGGTGGGGGCGGTGCTCCTTCTTGTCCCTTCCTGCAATGACTACAAGAGGCTTTCTCTGGCCAGAAGATGCTCAAAGGACTGACCAAGACATGCTGCCTTGAACCTTCTCAAGCACTGAAAATTAGCCCTTTCATTCTGCAGCTGCACCAGAAACAGCAAGGTGGTTTTACGGGGAAACCAGGAAGCAGGGTGTTAGCCCTCGGTCAGGAGAGGTACCTGGACGGAAGGAATGACGACCCTGGCCGAATGTAGAGGAGCCAGGACAATTGTCCTCTTAGGGGGCATTTCTCTAGAGATAGGGAATACAACAGGAAATAGGAACACAGCCAGCATGCCAGCTTACTTCCACCCAGGTTGCTTACCCATGGGGAGGTAAAGCTGCTACCTGTACAGAGGTTGGGGCCTGTGAGCGTGGGTTATGGAGTGAAGCAGCCTGGGTTAAAACCCCAGCCTCGCCAATGCCTGCCTGTGTGACCCTACTGGACGCTTTTATCCCTCAGTTTTCTCATCTGTAAACGGAACAGAAATTGTACCTAGCTCCTAGGACTATCATGAGGATTAAATAAGACAATTCATAGAAAGGACTCAGACCAGAGCCTGGCGGCTCATAGGAGATGCTTAATAAATACCACCTATTATCATCATGGACATGGACTTTTTGGTCTGTTCCATCTCCCTTCCTTTCGAGACCCTCCTCTCCCAGAGTCTGTAAAAATCCAACCTAAGGTTGTAAAGGGAGCCGACGCCTCCCAAGCCTCAGGGATGGGCATGTGACCCAGCCCTAGCCAATCAGAGCCCTCTGCCTCATGGCCACAATGAGTTGGCCTTGGAGTCTTTCCAGGGTTTTTGCTAGAACTTCCAGGAAAGACACTTGTTCCTCTCTGGGATGACAAGGCCTTAGGACTAGTCAGCCAAGAGCTGCCACAACCATTTTTCCCACCAGGCAGTGAGAGCTCACTGAGAATGAAGCCAGCACAGGGAAAAGGCAGAGTAGAGAAGAGAGAAACCCAGTGCTGTGAATGTCACGGGGGACCCTGAGGCCAGCCCACCAGGCCAGGCCGGTGCCCGTACTGTTATTCACCTGACAGTCTTTGCTGAAGCCAGTGGATAGGGAGGTTTTGTCTCCATAGGAAAGACAAGGCAGACCGACTGGAGAGCCGCCGCCTCCTTTGTGGGCAAACTGCCTGAGGGCAGAGGCTGTTTTTGTAGGAATTCACCGGGCCTAAGTATACTGTGTACAAGAAGGCACTCAAAACTTTCTCATTCTCTGAGTGGATTCTTTGATCAACTTGGCCCCTTCCTCAAGTGGTTTGGGGCTGAAACTGGCCTTGAGCTATGGCCTTAATTCAGCCTGCCTTTCCGTGCACAGATGGTTCACAAACAGCCACTCCAACAAGCATTTAACCCACCTCAGTGTGTGCCAGGATCGGTGGGGGTGGGGGTGGGGCGGGGTGGGAATGGGATGTGGTCCCAGCCCTTGGGGGATCTTGGATTCTGTTGGAAAGGGAGTGTGTGTGGGTGAGCAGACAAGATCCCAAGTGACAGTAATAAAATGTCAAGTTAGATGAGTGTTATCGTCAGCCACAGTGGGGAGTCTGGGAGGGAGGGAGCCCAGAGGGTGACAGGTCTGTGGCCCGCACCTGTTAGCAGGGCGCCCTGCAGACACAGCCTGCGTTCTCGCTGCCTCCCACGCAACCTGGTGCCCCAAGGTGAGGAAAACAAACTTCCCCATCTTTTCCCAATCGGCTGAGCTTCCCCAGCACAAACACAGAAGGAAAGCAAATTACCTTGTGTCAAATTCCAGTTATATTCAATTATGGCAGAGAGCACCACACTGTTTATGAGATTTGAGCAAGGTCCACACACCCCATTCTTTCCAAAAGCAATTATGAGATTTCATGTACCATATTGTGATTGCTTAAGGGTTCATCTGACAGGATTTTTTCTCTCCATATGGCGTTTGCTGTCAGTATGGAAACAAGGCCGTAATAAACTCATAGCACAGTAAACACCATGTGATTCCAACACAAGCTGTCAGCACCTCAGTTTCTCAGCAGCACAGGCCGCTCCCAGCTGTACAGAGGATCCCAGGCAAGAAAGTCACTCGCTGGAAGCCCAGGAAGGAAAAAAGGATTCGTAATCATCTACTTGGAGTCTTTGCTCAGCCTTAAAAGAAGATAAATGGGCTTATCTTCTGAGGAAGCACCGCCACCGCCAGCCACCAAATCAAAGTGGAACGTCCGTGGTTCCTTTAGAAATGGAGACTGAGGCCACAGAAGGAAGAAGCTGAATTTGGAAATTGATCAAGGTGACAAGAGAAGGTGCAAGTCAAGGTTCTCAAGGCACCAAGGTCACTTCTGGAAAGGCAGACAACACTGGAGCTGGCAGCACGAGGACCCCTTCTGCTAGGTTTTTGCAGACGCTGGCCCTGGTGTTGAAATCCAGCGGGGAAGGGCCCGGCCACAGCCCTTCTTCCCAGTGTGGTGTGTTGGGGTTGGTGGGTAAGAGCATCCAGGACAGGGGGACAGAAGGCTTTCCTCTCTGACTCTCCGTCAGGCAGGGAGAGAGAACCCTGGGGTGCTGCGCACACAGGCACACATGCACTGTGTACACACACACACACACACACGCCAGCTCTTCTACAATGTGAAAATCCTGCTTTGGGCCACTTGCCTCATTGGTCCTTCCTTCTAAGCCAGACAGAGGCTGTTGTTAGGTAAGCTATGAGGGGACCTCCCCCCCCTGCCCCCAGAGGACCCACCAGTCATCTAATTAGTCTATCTATACTCTTTTAGGTCCTTCTTTCATTCAATAAACTCTCTTCCAAGGTCTCCTGCTTTTGGATACTAGAAGTTTCCTTCAACTTTAAGACTCTCTTCTTGAATTCCACTCCTGGGGGTGTGTGGATGAATGGGTGGGAGGAGGCATACCTCATACACACTAGCAGGTTGGCATTAACAGCCCCAAGAATGGGGGTGTGGTATTTGTGACATGACATCTGGCCTTGGCTGCAGTAATGAGGTCTGGTGGACACAGCAAACGGAAGCATGTCCAGAGGAAGGTGGCTGGCAAAGCCCTAGGCTCTAGGCTCTAGGCTCCCGAGCTGTGCCTGCTGTGCCCACAGGAGGGTGGCGGGAGACATGCTGGGAAGGCAGGCTGGCCTCAGACAGGAAAGCGCTGGACCTCAAGGGCAAGGAGACTGGGATGGATTCACTACCCACGGGGACACCCAGGATTTTAGGGCACAAATGATTCAAGTACAAGCCACAGAAAGGTGGACAAAACGGGGTGGGGAGCAGGGAGTCTGAGACATTGATGGAGGGGGTCACTGCTGTGGGCACCACGGCCGCCTGTGGCTCCAGCCCGGCCTTGGGGCAGGGAGGGCGCAGCCTCTGTGGTTGCAACCCTGCTTTGGTGAGGAAGCTGCTGGACCGAGAAAAACCGCATGCGGCGTTTGTTTCTTCAAGGGCTTGACACCTCTCAGGCATGCCCACGGCTGGCCTGGGGACACAGGGCTGCCACCCCTTCCTGCAGCACACTGAACTCCAGCCATGCCCTCAGCCAGGACGGCTTCTTCCCACAGACAGTCCCTTAGCAGGTTGACAGGCCCTGGCCGAGGCCCTGCTGGGCCCTGCATGCCGGGCCCTATGGGCAGCGTCCCTGAAAGCAGACGAGGCATTGCAGCCTTCGTCTTTGTCCTGAGCAGTTTGCTCACAAGCCGGGGAAGGAGGAAGGCACATTCACAGACAGGCTGGGAAGAGCAGCCATGAAACAAAACTGCAGAAGGCAGGGCTGTTGGCAACGTTCAGGAAGGGGACACGCCCCCTCGTGATGTTAGGTTGGTGTCTGCGCAACAGCATGCTGGAGTGGGAATGGGAGTGACAGGGTCACTACAGGGAACAGGGAACACCGGAGAGGCTGAGTGCTGAGGAGGAAGAAGAAGATCAAAGCCAGAGACAATGGGGCCGGAGGTCAGGTCGGATGAGGGACTAGGAGAAGCCACAGTGGGGAGGTGAATCCCCAGG